TTGAGAGGGAGAAAATAGAATCAGAGGTAATGGTATTACAGCTGAATAAAGGCAACAAGAGAGGCATGAGGGTGGAGCTGGGCAGAATTTACTGGGAGAGGAGCTGAGCAGGAAAGACAGTGGAACAGCAATGGCAGGAGTTTCTAGGAGTAATTCTAGGAGCAAAAATTCATCCCTAGGAAAGAGAAGCATGGTACAGGAAGGATGACGCAACCATGGCTGACTAGGGAAGTCAGGGATAGCATAAAAGCAAAAGAGAAAGCATATAATGTGACAAAGGGCAGTGGAAAACCATAGGATTGGGAAGCTTACAAAGTCCAACAGAGGGCAACTAAAAAAGAAATAAGGAGGGAGAAGATTAACTATGAGAGTAATCTAGCCAGTAATATAAAGGAGGACTGTAAGAGTTTCTTTGGATATTTAAAGGGGTAAAGAGAGGCAAAAGTGGACATTGAACTGCTGGAAAATGACGCTAGAGAGATAGTAGTGGGGAACAAGTAAATGGCTGAGGAACTGAATAATTACTTTGTGTCAGTCTTCACAGTGGAAGACACGAGTAATATCCCAAAAATTTGAGAGAGTCGGGGCAAAGCTGAGTACGGTGGCCATTGCTAAGGAGAAGGTGCTAGAAAAACTGAATGGCCTGAAGGTGGATAAGTAACCAGGACCAGATGGACTACACCCCAGAGTTCTTAAGGAGATAGCTGAAGAGATAGTGGAGGCGTTAGCGGTGATCTTTCAGGAATCGCTAGAGTCAGGGAGGGTCCCAGAGGACTGGAAAATTGCTAAATTGACACCCCTGTTTAAAAAGGGAGTAAGGCAAAAGATGGAAAATTACAGGCTGATTAGCCTAACCTTGGTCGTGTGTAAAATTATAGAGTCCATTGTGAAGGATGAGATTTCTGAATACTTGGAAGTGCATGGTAAAATAGGGCAAAGTCAGCATGGTTTCATCAAACGGAGGTCATTCCTGACAAATCTATTAGAATTCTTTGAGGAAGTAACAAGCAGGTTAGACCAAGGAAAGCCAATGGATGTTATCTACTTGGACTTACAGAAGGCCTTTGACAAGGTGCTGTATGGAGGCTGCTGAGTAAGATAAGGGCCCATGGTGTTAGAGGCAAGGTGCTAGCATGGATAGAAGATTGGCTGTCTGGCAGAAAACAGAGAGTGGGGTTAAAAGGGTCTTTCTGAGCATGGCATACCACAAGTGGAATTCCACAAGGGTCAGTGTTAGGACCACAACTTTTTACTTCATACGTTAATGATCTGGATGAAGGAACTGAGGGCATTCTGGCTAAGTTTGCAGACGATACAAAGATAGGTAGAGGACTAGGTAGTATCAAGGATGCTGGGAGGCTGCAGAAGGATTTGGACAGGTTAGGAGAGTGGGCAAAGGATTGGCACATGGAATACAGCGTGGGAAAGTGTGAGGTCATGCACTTTGGTAAGAAGAATAGAAGCATGGACTATTTTCTAAATGGGGAGAAAATTCAGAAGTCTGAAGTGCAAAGAGACTTGGGAGTTCTAGTCCAGGATTCTCTCAAAGTAAACTTGCACATTGAGTCAGTAGTTAGGAAGGCAAATGCAACTTTGGCATTTATTTTGAGAGGACTTGAATATAAAAGCAGGGATGTACTTCTGAGGCTCTATAAGGCTCTAGTCAGACAACATTTGGAGTATTGTGTGCAGTTTTGGACCCCATATCTCTGGAAAGAGGTATGGAGCCCAAAACCATGGAGCAGGTTCAGAGGAGGTTCACAAGAATGGTCCCAGGGATGAAAAGCTTAACATATGAGGAACGTTTGAGGACTCTGGGTCTATACTCGATGGAGTTTAGAAGGATGAGGGAGGATCTAATTGAAACTTACAGAGTACTGAATGGCCTGGACAGAGTGGATGTTGGGAAGATGTTTCCATTGGTAGGAGAGACTAGGACCCGAGGGCACAGCCCAAAGTAAAGGGAAGACCTTTTAGAAGGGAGATAGGAGAGACTTCTTCAGCCAGAGAGTGGTGAATCTATGGAATTCATTGCCACAGAAGGCTGTGGAGGCCAGGTCATTGAGTATATTTAAGACTGAGATAGATAGGTTCTTGATTGTCAAGGGGATCAAGGGTTACGGGGAGAAAGCAGGAGAAACTTATGAGCCATGGTTGAATGGTGGAGAAGACTCGATGGGCTGAATGGTCTAATTTGTATGTAAAACTTTTGGAACCCACATGTCTCCTTTTATCTGGTGTGGATGACTCCAAAGTGGTTGCTCAAAACTCAGAGTTCTGAAGTTGGAAGAATTTTATTTCCAACGTGGGTACAAAATCTATGGAAATTAGTACAAAACTCTTGGGTAGAAGATGGTGCTGTGTGTCAAATTACAGCCTCCAAATATCGCTTGTATATTTTGTGAAACATGGGCCTGATTGCCATTCTAATCTTGGTTGGCATGAAAACTCAAGTGTGATAATGCCTGAGATATTATACACTATGGTCAGATTCCTGAGATAACAATAAATAAAGAAATCAATAAAATTTCATGTGAGATTACGTGAACAACAGATGAGGAAGTATCTTGTGGATTGAAATTTTTGTCCATCTGTTGTTAATGAAGATAAATTCTCCCTCAAAACCCAAGTTAATCTGAGTGGACAGCTCAGTGAAATTTCTGGGTTAAGTTGTCCACTCAACTGTTACAGCAAGAAACATTTATGAAATAACTTGGTGTTTTTTTTTATTTTTGTGATTGTACATTCTGTCATAATCCCCATCGAGATTGTTAACATTTAAAGAGAAATTTAAACAGTGATTAACTAAAATAAATTAAATTACAAGATTTCACCAATTTAAACAAACTTTACTGTATACTTAAAGAACTTAAAAGCAAGCACCACTAATTGAAAACTATAGTTTATAAAGATCAATGATATAAATCTAGTTGTAACTTTCAAGGCCCTCGAGTTTCCTTATCTTGAAGGTTCATGTTATTTTCCTCAGACCAATCCACATTTATAACACAGCCCTCTGAAATGAACATTCATTTCTCCTCAGTGTACTGAGTATTCTTGGAAATTTCAGGGTGATTCTTCCATTAGCTTCTGGTTAAGTGATTCTCTAATATTTCATAAATGTTGATGACTCAGCTCAGATTTAACCTTCACTGAATCCTCCAAACTAACCGCTTGTTTTTATTCTGTGGACCACAGATTTCTTCCTCATATTCCGAGCAAGGCAAACCTTCCAATTTCTTTTTCCTCACGAATTATTAAGTGAACTGCATCCTACATAAGACCAAATCTTGCCTTTTGTGAAGAAAATTCCAGACAAATTAAACAAAGTAACCTTCTAACACCTACAGCCCATCTCCATTACAATGTGATATACTTGGGATGTACCAATCCAAAATGTAAATTAACTTGCTTTTACCTTCAAAGTAAAACCCTTTGCTTCTGTGATCCATATGAATAATCTATGCCATAGAGACATACAGCATGGAAACAGACCCTTCAGTCCAACTCATCCATGCCAACCAGCCATCCTAATTGATCTAGTTCTGTTTGCCAGCATTTGACCGAAATCCCTCTAAACCCTTCCTACTCATACCTATTCAGATGCCTTTTAAATGTTGTAATTGTATCAGCCTCCATCACTTCCTCTGGCAGCTCATTCCATACATAGACCACCCTCTGCGTGAAAAAGTTGCCCCTTAGATCCCTTTTAAATCTTTCCCCTCTCATCTTAAACCTATGCCATCTAGTTTGTGACTCCTCCACCCTGGGGAAAATACCTTGTCTATTTGTCTTATCTATGCCCCTCATGATTTTATAAACCTCTGTAACGTCACCTCTCGGCCACTCACAATCCAGGGAAAAGAGCCCTTGTCTATAAAGTCTGTCCATTTATGTTAAACCCTCCAACCCTGGCAACGTCCTTGTAAATCTTTTCTGAATCCTTTCAAGTTTCACAACATCCTTCCTATAGCTGGGAGATCAGAATTGCACACAGTATTCCATTCATGGCTTAATCAAAGTCCTGTACAGCCTCAACATGACCTCCCCACTCCTTTACTCAATGCACTGACCAATAAAGGTAAGCATATCAAATACCTTCTTCAATATCCTATATACCTGTGACTCCACTTTCAAGGGACTATGAACTTGCACTCCAAGCTCTCTTTGTTCAACAACACCCAGGACCTCATGATTAGGAACCTATATTGGAGTTTTACAACCCTCAATTCAGAATTGCTAGCTTTTGGATTTGTCATCTAGGAACAATGTAAATGAAGTTTTTTCATCGAATCAAGGATTCTGACTCTAATACAGGCCCAGAGACATTCTCAAATGTGTTTCGGTTGCATTCACTTTGGAGTTACTTTAGGCTGTTACTCAGGTTTTCTGTTGATCTTATAGTTGACAGATTAATTTACAATCTAATAGTTATATTTCTAAAACTAAAAGTTATACCACTAAAATATGTGAATTATGGAATTGGATGTATGTAATAATGCAAAATGATTAATGATTAGAAATACACAGTAATTGTGTGAACTTTTAGGATAAATGAACAAGTTGTTCCTGAGCTGGTGTTTTATATTTTCTAAATACTTAAATGAAACTACATTTTTGAGAAGGATATAATGGACAGCCAGTCTGATATTGTTTTATTTACAACAAGAGTTAAAATTATCTCCAACTGATATTGGAATGGAAAATGTTTTACATGTCTGGGAAGCACAGTAGCTCGATTACAGTCTTTTAAAATGCACTGAATAATGATTAAACAAGAAGAATGTTAAAGTACATGGAGAGATATCAGGAAAATGTGTTTTCAATATGGGTGCTCAGAAGAGGTTTAAATTGACCTCAGACAGTACTGAGCTAAAATGTATATGGTTCTGTACTTTTAATTACTGCATTTTTATAAATACATCAAGCTGCTCACATACAATAGATTATTTTGAAATTTAGTACATTCTATATCATCAAATATGACAACTATTTTCCAGGCAACAAAGAGACAAAAGAACAGTCAATACAGTGTGGAGCTGGAAGAACACAGCAGGTAAAGCCGCATCAGAGGAGCAGGAGAGTCAACGTTTCGGTCAGGACCCTTCATCAGGACTCCCTCTCAGAGACAAAAAAACATATAATTTGTCTTTGGGGAAGTTGGTTCTGAGAATGTTAGCTACAATACCTTGTACTCTCTGTAATTGCCATGACATTCTATCTTCAATTGCCACTCAACAGGCAGACAAGCCCTTAATTTAAATTTATCCTAAAGATAGGCCCTCTCTAGGGACAAAAAAATTTCTTAAACATTTTACAGCTCTGTCAGGATAGACCAAAAGCAACATTGAATCCAGCAACAGAGAAGATTTTCCCTCTTAGTAACTGGTTTTAGTTTCTAAGTTCACTCTCTGTGTTGAAACCATGATAAATATTTGCATTCCATTTGAGTCAACTATCTGAAGATTTTCATCTAACTTGTTTCACAAAATTAGTAAAATTATTTGAGTTTTCTGATACATTCAAAGAATGTTATATAATTGTACATACTTTTCAAACACTTTTTGACCTAAGCTGAGTTCAAATATCATTAATGTCAGTTTAGCTTAATGATAGCACTTTCACTACTAAGGTAGACACCTAATAAGCTTAAAAAAAAATAATTGGCTGTACACTCTGTGACATCTTGAGATCATGAAAACTGCTAGGGAAATGCAAATTTATTCTTTCTTCATCAAAATCAATTAGGAAACATGTTTGCTATTATTTAATTAATATTTAATAAAGTTGTGTCAATTTGTTTCTCTTATTTAAATGGCTATTGTGCAAAACAGGAAGTAGAGACAGTGAATTTCTGGTGCACACATCAGCTAGGAAATACAGGAGATGTGGTTGACCCTTCAACTGACATTTTTCAAAAATGCCGTCATTTCCTTGCACGCCGTGCTACGAACATACAAACATTGCTCCACTCAGGGCAGGATGGGCTGGTGCACACTTAATTTCTCCACAATGGTTGCAGTGAATTCCATTTGTAGTTGGCTACGCATCATCCATTCAATCCCTCATAGCATTGAAATACATTCCTATAATTACAGAGTTATGAGGTGGGGTTTAGGAAATGTGGGATGCATATGTGAGTGTGAGTGCGGAGAGGGAGGAAGATTTGGGTCGATAATGGTAATGTACAGCTGAGTCATGGAATCTCACTGCTCGACTATGCACCAGCTTTTGCTTTTAAAAGTAACCTATTGTACCTGAGTTTTACTATCTGTATATTTTGTCTCAATGCTTTCTATCAATTTTCATCTCCCCCAAAGTCATGACTTTGTTATAGCCTGTGATTCCACCTGACAGTAGTGACAGTGATTGTCAGTGAGCCCTTCAAATGTAGGGAGAATCAGAGTCAAACTCTGCTCTGTCCTCAACGTTCCATATGTGCACTTCTAGTGTTACTCATTACATACCAATATAGAATCTGACTGACCTTCCTGCCATGCTGTGTGTAACTGAAGGAATTCAATTACGGCCTTAGTTGTTACAAAATGACACTGAACAAGTGCAGATCAAGGCAACAAAATTTGCTTAAATCCGCAAATGGATGATCGGATCGCAATGAACAATTAACCTACTCCTGTTCCTACTGAATGCAGACAGCATTCAAACTTTGTGCTGTTTACTCATTGCTGTGATGGTAGTGTGCTGCTGTAGCTGCATGTCTAGTCGCAGTGCATGTTCATGAGCAGCTAGCACCACTTAAAAGCCAACTTACACCTCTGGAAGGGGAGATGCATTTTGACTACAGCATGGGCTGAAGTTGGTTGGAGAAGAGCCGTCGACTGGGAAGAATACACAAAGAAGGTTCTGCAGGAAATGGCGCATTCCCCAAGGCACAGTATTGAGGATTGTTGTGCAGGCTTGTTGAATAGGATGATCAATCCATGGGGCATCAGGATGCCCTGCAGGCCCAAATTGCGAAGACTGAGGGAGAAGGTAGCTGTTAAAATCAATGCACCAGTGCAGCTCTGAGAACTGGGATGCAGTGCATGAAGTTCACTAGCCCACAGAAGTGGTCAGGGCAATTGAATGCATCTTGAAAATCCATCCTTACAACTGAACCACTAGCCTCATACTCCTTTAATTTCTCCATGCACTTCTCTTACCTAGCAACAACTGCTATCAACCACAACTCATACCTAGTATCTCATAGCTTCACCTTGCTCATACTTTTAGCTCGGTTGTAAGCCTCATATGCACATTTGTCAGCTTGCAAAAATTGCCAGCTATTCAACTATAACAGCCATATCACTTAGCACATTGCACCACCCTCACTGACGCGCTTCTCTCTCTCTTGCAGGGTTAGATAATACAAAATTGGAGGCAGCAGAATCTAACTGGTGGGAGACAGGCACCTGCAGCATGTCATCCTGGCAGAAAGAAGAGTTCATCATCACTGGAACAGCCATGTCTGAGACTATAAACAGTTGCAGAACTGGAAGGATCAAAGATGACAGTTACTCATAACTAATCCTCCTGGAGCCAGATTGCCTCACTCGCTTGAATAATGAAATTAACATAGATAGGAGGAGATAAGTAGCAACATTGAGTACAATATCAATACTTTGGAAAACGTTTGACTTTTGATGTGGTTTTAGGCATGATATTCCTGCATATGAATTTTGTCTTTTTGCGGTAAATATGTACTGAAGCTACATAAGTTAGTGAAATGGTGAATATGATAGTTGCTGTGGAGTGTAGAGCATAAACTGAGCAAACAATTAACTGATCGTAATCTACAACATAAAATCCAATAAATTCATGCCAGCATGGAACCAAACAGCAATTAATTACAGATTTCTGTGTTTTTTTAATGTAAAACAAAAGGTCTGAAATTTGAACAATGGGCTATTGCAAACAGTAGTCAAACAAGTTGATTTGCCACTTCATGCTTTTAGTAAACAACGGTAGCATGGTTTAGATTTCATTATGCTTTAGAACTCATTTATTTATTGACAACAATCAATTAAAGAAAATAATTCAAAAAGTGATCTTAAAATGTTCCAGCTTTTTAATGACATCAATCTACGATGCACTGGTCATTGCATTTCCCATACAATGTGGCATTTCTGTTTAACTCAGCAGGTTATTTTATTCCTAGGCAAAAAATGCATTGCTTTCACAACTCCCACAATTTCTAGAAGCATCTTGGCTCAGCCATGATAGTTGTGCAGCAACCCTAGGAGCTTACAAAAACTGTGTTTGTGTGAATCCTGGAGAGTCTTATTGTTAATTCATCAACCCAAAAGGATCTTCAGTGCTTCATTTTGTTGATGCAGAATCTGTTCAATTAAATTGACGGCTTTAAACAAATTATTTGAAAGAAATACAAATTAAATGAGTTTTGGTTCTATTTCCCCTAACTTTCTAATAACATTTCCAGAAGGTATCTCTCTTACGCAATGGGTAAAAGGATACTGGAGGTTTACTCAACTACTAGTTGGATTAAAGTCAGTGGAAAGGAAGCACTTAACTGACTACCCGTGAATTTGCTCTGTGTAGTGTTTATTACTGCATTGTGCTGTGGTTATTATGACTATATCTGTAAATGTGGTTACTTCTGTGTGCCAAACACTGTCAGTTCATACTAGCAAAATATGATGGTGGTAGCAGATTGTGGTGCACAACTATGCAGAGCCCAAAGCAGTTATCTGATCGTTTCACCGTTACATCCTTAAATCGTTTTTTGCTTTCAAATTAACATTTAGGCAGCTCTTCTTTTATCAGAGAGCTTATGGAATGCATTACCAGCCTCTGTAGTTTGAGGTAAGTCTTGGTATGCCTCCAAAAAGGTATCATATAGTTCCTAGTTGAGACAGAAATCATAAAAAGCTAAGTAGTTTAGCAATTAACATACGATTAAGGCTGGATGTCAACATGGCAGTTGGGCCCATTTAATCATGGAAGATGCCCCCGTGTCAGCCTCCCAATAGTGGCAAAACCTCCCCTAATTACAGCGGATTCCTAGGTGCTGGATGTTGTATAACATGTTAAGCAAGGAAAGGGTTAATGCTGATGTGTGCTGTAAACACTGCCCAGTATGATGATATCATTGAGACCTGGGTGGGTCTGGATCTTTTTTTAAATGCATTCACGGGTTGAGGGCATCACTGCCTGGGCCAGCATTTATTGCCCATCCCTAACTGCCCAGAGTGCAGTTAAGAGTCAACCACATTGCTGTGGGTTTGGAGTCACATGTAGGCCTGACCAGATAAGGATGGCAGCTTCCTTCCCTAAAGGACATAAATGAACCAGATGGGTTTTTCTGACAATCAACAATGGATTCATGGTTATCATTAGACTCTAAATTCCAGATTTTTTAAAATTGACTTCAAACATGGGTCCCCAGAACATTACCTGGGTCTCTGGATAATACCACTAGGTTATTGCCTTCCCCTCAAAGAAGACATATTCTTATCTATTTCTCCCTCATATTCTTAGTAATAATGTCTAAATAACTTGTATCTGATTGCTATCATGCAGTAAACTACTTAAGGCAACACCATCTTCTTGTTACACTACCAAGTGGTTTTCCTTGACCACATTAGACATGTAAGGCCCTCTAGATCCCAACCTAAAAGGAAGATGGTGGCAGCAGTGAATCTTCCCCCTTTATTGCTTTTACCAAGGGTGACTGTGGTGAGAATCCAAAATACAACACACTGAGTAGCAGTTCAGATTCCAGTGAGCTTTGAAGGAATCTTCAGACAGTGCTTTACTCGTGTAGTCACTCAACATTTGGGAAGGTTGACCATTCAAGGAAGCTACAGAAGAGCAACTCATGGCAAGTTCAATAAGACAGAATCTGCAGCTGATGGTAAAAACATTTCAGATCTGAGACATGCAGAAGTAAGTGTGAGCTAGAGGTTATGTAGACCTGAACGCTGGTCACACTTGCCATTTATAGATTGCATCAAATGATCTTAAGGAATGGTCCCAAGTTGAGGTTTAGCTGGTGAGTGAATGGACATTGGAGGCTCCATGGGGAAATGTTGACATTCCTAATGGGCAAGGAGAATTCTTTTTTATATAATGGCATAATTACATGCTGATCACCATGAGGTGTGGCTACTGTGAGGTAAATCAAGATCCATAGAAACAAATTAAAATAATGTTGCAGACCCAATAATAACACAAGACCAAAATTAAAGTGATAAAGGGGTGAATTTGAAGGCGGCGTGGATAGATTCTAATGGGGGAGAAGAAATTTGGTAGACTGTTGAGGCTGTGAGGAATGCAGGAGAGCTATCATTTAAACCATGGTAAAAGCAGGAGGCATTTATTAAAACTTCAGACAGCAGTATTATTTGTAGCACTACAGACAGCAGAAATTGTCTAAGGAAATCCATTAAAGAGAACAGAATTCATCTTACAGAACCATGAAGAGCAGGATTCATTCAGTAAAGCTATTAAAGAGAATGGAAATTATTTATTAGGCCGTGAAAAGGCAGAATTATTCATTGTGCCCATAAACAAGCAGGAATCATTAATTTCACTTACAGAAGGCAGAACTCCATTGTTTTGACTGCATAAATGAGGGAAAATACTCTAAGATCCTTTAAAATTTCAGAATAAAGCAGCATTGTTATAACGCAGGACTGAAGTCCTTTAAAGAAAGAGAATATGTAGTCACATTAGAAAGACATGAAAGTAAAAGCAATATTGCTAGGAAGATTTAATTTCGGAGATGGACGAAATAGAACGCATCATCAGATATCTCAAAGTTAACAGTTCTTAAACTACAGAGCTCCTTTCAAACAAGATACTAAATCTGGAATTGAACAAGTAAATACTTGTTTGTATTCATTGGGATTATGGCTGATGATGTTATAGTTCACCAAGAATTTAGCCAAATTGTCTAAAAGTAGAATTTTCACTAAACTCAATGCCAACAATGGGTTCTGGCAGGTGCAATTAGGTGAACAAGCAAGACTGCTTATCACACTTCTAACTGCATTTCATTGACATTTTAGATTACATTAGGCAATGTCCAATGTGATGATGTAATAGAGATTTGGGAGGGAGAACAAGTCTGGCTCTCAAAGGAGGTAGACCTACCATCAAGATCTTCCTCACAGTCTTAGTAACACTGTCTATCATATCAATGTAGCTTGTAGCTGATTGCTATCATACAATAAACTACATCTTGTTTAAGAGCCTCTGCTTGTTACAGTAGCAAATGATTTTGGTCAACCACTTGTACCACAGTAGTAGGGTACCTACGTCTGGAATAGGAAGACAGGGTTCAAGTCCCATCTGCTCCAGAAGTGTATAATAATATCTCAAACAGGTTGATTAAAAAATATCTACAAGACCAGTCAGACCATTTAGATCCCAGTCTAAAAGAAGGATGACGGCAGCAAAGCTACTTGCTGTATTTTTCACCAAGGTGACTGTGGTGAGGATCTATCATACAACAGTGGTGATGGGATGTTATTCAGGCTCATTGTCCCTGAGTCCACCACATCTTAATTTGTCTTTCTAATTCTCCACCTTGCTGCCACTGTTATATTTCTGTCTATGGCATGCTATAGTGTTCCACTGAACCTCAACGCAAGTTCAAGGAACAACGTGTTAGCTTTTGATAAGGTACTTGACAACCTTTTGGTTTCAACATTGAGATCAACAACTTTAGATAGCCACTATCTATGTATTGTTCTGAATTGACTTTTTTTTGCTTTGCTTCATTGGTCTTAGAGTCATAGAGCTGTAAAGCATGGAAACAAACCCTTTGGTCCAACCCGTCCATGCCAACCAGATATCCTAAATTAATCTAGTCCTATTTGCCAGCATTTGGCCCATATCCCTCTAAACCTTTCCCATTCATACATCTATCCAGATGCCTTTTAAATGTTGTAATTGTACCAGCCTCCACCACTTCCTCTGGCAGCTCGCTCCATACACACACCACCCTCTCTGCCCCTTAGTTTCCTTTTAAATCTTGTCTCTCTCACCTTAAACCTATGGCCTCTACTTTGAACTCTCCCACCCCAGGGAAAAGACCTTATCTAATCACCCAAGCTTAATTTTATTTACTCCCTTCATGTTGCATGCAGGTGGTCTTTATGTAGCCATTTATGTGTCATTTGTACACAGCATTTGTTCCTTTATTGTACTAGGTCCATTACCACTTTCTCTGTAGTCGCATCATGAAGTTTTTTGTTATTCAAATTCCCCTGGAGTCCACCTCCTTTGTTTTCCTGTCCCTTCCCCCTTCCACTGGCTAAAGAATTCTTATCATTCTGATATTCAGATCAAAACTCATCACCCTGAAACTGTCTTTCTGCACAGAAACTGCCTAACCTGGCGAGCTTTTGCTGCATTTTTGTTAAAAAGGGAGACTTGCCAGGTGACAGGTCAAAGGCAGGTGAGTCTCCCTGTTTAAAAGAGATAACAAGGTGTAGAGCTGGATGAACACAGCAGGCCAAGCAGCATCAGAGGAGCAGGAAGGCTGACGTTTCGGGCCTGGGCCCTTTTTCAAAAAGGGTGTAGGCCCAAAACATCAGCCTTTCTGCTCCTCTGATGCTGCTTGCCCTGCTGTGTTCATCCAGCTCTACACCTTGTTATCTCAGATTCTCCAGCACCTGCAGTTCCTACTATCTCTGAGTCTCCCTGTTTCTTTAGTTTTGAAGAAGTTACATCAGACTCAAAGACAACACAGTGTGGAGCTGGAGGAACACAGCAGGTCAGGCAGCATCAGAGGAGCAGGAAAGTTGACGTTTCCGGTTGGGACCCTTCTTCAGAAATTGACTCCAGCAACTGCAGTTCTTGCTATCTGACATCAGACTCAAAA